CTAGAGGCTGGCGGGGACCATGCCCTGCCTGAAGACACTGGCTGGCCCCTACCTTCCCGATTTTCCTGTGGTCTCGGTGCCTGGCTTCCTCCTGGAGCTTCTCCCAGGCGTCCATGCCCCGGGGATCCGGGAAGGCGATGCCGTAGACCCTCTGCTGTGTCTCCATGCTCGGGTCACCCGCCCAGCAGCTGGAGGAGTTCTAAAGAGCACAGGAGCCACGGGTGACAGGCGCACCCCGGGGTGGGCAGGATGTGGCTCTGACTCACCAGCTCCCCACTGTACGTGCTGAAAAGATGCTTCAGTGGCTTCTTGCACCACCGTCCCAGCCCTAACCATGTCTGCGGTGGATCCTGGGGTCAGCATGGGAAGGAGGGGGGCTGACGAATAACTGGGGGGATGGAGGGGAGTCAAAGTTTCACTGATCCCTGGCTAACTGGGAAGATGGGGTGATGTCAGGAGCACCCTTACGGGGGCTCAGGATAGCAGACTTCACACCCTCAGTCTTTATGGGCCGTTCTCTCTTGCTCACTCTCTCCCCTCCTCTCTCTCTCCCTCTCTCTCCCATCTTTCTCCTCTCTCTTCCTCTTTCTCTGTGTCTCCTCTCTCCTCTCTCTTCCTCTTCCCTTCCTCTCCCTCTCTCTCTCCTCTCCCTCACCTCTTTCTCCTCTCTTCCTCTCTTTATCTCCCTGTCTCTCCTCTTTCCCTCCCCCCTCCTCTCTCTTCTTTCTCCTCTACTTCTCTCTCTCCTCTTTCTTTCTCTCCCCCCACCCTCTCTCTCCACTAAGTCATCAACCCCTTTCCCTTCTTCCCTTCCCCTACAACTCTGTTCTCACATACAGGTCAACTGCACATGCAAGGATGCTTCCAGAAACAACGGTACGGCAGGAGAGCATCCAAAAATACCCTGTGCAAAGAGCAACGTGGCATAATGCTTACCCATGCTGCATGACAAACAAGCAGACACCACTTAACTGCCTAGCTAAGAGTCTTCTAGACCACGCCATCTTAGAGGGTCGTGTCCAGAACGGAATATTAGGGGTTAAGGTGTTTGCTGTTAATGCAACCAACACTAGTACTGTCCCTGGCACTGCATAGTCCCAGAGCACCCTTGGGAACAAAGCCCAAGCAGGGAGCCAGGAGTCAGCCCTGAGCACCTCCAGCCATGCCCCCCCCCCCCCCAAATACCTCCCTCCGAAAGTCAGCATTTTCGGCTGGGACAACATGCAGGCTAGAGAGGTAACACTGAAATGTCTTCTTTTGTCCAACTTCAACAGCAACAACAAAAATAAAGTCTGTACCTTGAAAATCTTTATGGCTTTAATTGTGCCGGTGTGCCTGACATGGGGGCCCTTGCAAAGTTCGATCAGGGAGCCGCACCTGCAGGAAAGATTGAGACATGCTGGGGCAGCTTTTCATTAGAAACTCCGGCCCCACCCCGTGTCCCAGAGCAGCAGAGCCGGGTGCTGAACTGCACCCCTGAATCCCCACAACATTCCTTATCTATGGACTCGAAAGTTCAGTGCCGAGTTTAGGCAACGAGGCCCTTCACACCAGGTTTCAGCCTTGCCTCCTCGGTGTAGCTGCAGACCAGAATCCCGGACAGAGCCACGCAGGGGTATCTCTGGGGGTCTTCCACCGGGTCGGCACCAGCCCACTGTGCCACTGTGCCACACGAAAGCCCTCACGGGCTCTGCTCCCATCAAAGACAAACCCCTCTGTGATTCCAATAAAATATCTTGGTGATAACTGATTTTTAAAACGGGCCGGGCGGGGGGTATGGTGCCGCCAGCAGGTCAATCTGAACCTGTGAGGCGAGTGCATCAGCAGCCTGATGGTGCCTTCAGACTTCCAGACACCCCAAAATTGCTGCTGTGCCTTTGGCCAGACCCCAAAAACTTAGGGCAAAGTTTACCAAGAAAGTAAATGGCCAAAAGTTAGGTATGTGGGAAACACACCCACAAACCACCTCCGGCTTAGCTATATAATTGGAGGCATGGCCTCTCTGATTCCTGATTGAACTGCTTGATGGCCATGATCCCAGAGACTCAGAAAAAAATCTCGAAACCCAGTGGCTTTTGGCAGAAATGTGTCCCTGCAGTAGGTTACCGGTGCTGGGCCAACCCAGATGAGAATAGGTTTCGTGCCTTGGCTTTTCCCCCGGGTGGCCCAGTGGCTGCCATCCTCCAAGGCCACTGGACAGTCAGGTTTGGGCCCCCAATGATGAGACATGCAGGGCCTCATGGGATGGGGGTGGACCGGGCCTGTCCTCCACACCCCAAGGAGACCCCAAGTCATCGCCCACAAACGGCCTTTCTGGCTCCTGATCAAGCTGCTTAATGGCCATGATCCCAGAGATTCAGGAGCAAATCTCGAAACCCAGTGGCTTTTGGCAGAAATCCCTCCAGATTTAAGTGTTAAAATTTCGGAATTTCAAAATAACGTGGCCCTACTGCAGCCACGCGACATCATATGTTATTCATAACCAGCAATAGAACACAAATTGTCTACTGTTGCCTTTTCAGCAGACCTGAGTGTTGGGGTAGAATCTCAAATAATAATGGTGGGTCTGGTGTTGAAATAATGAATGTGATCAAAGTAGAGAGAGAGTAACGTGGAAATCATCTGCCCCATAGGTAGAGGGAGGGTGTGGGATGGGGGTATACTGGGGTTTCTGGTGGTGGAGAATGGGCACTGGTGAAGGTACAGGTGTCTCATTGTATGACCTTGTATGACCAAGACAGACCCGAAAGCTTTGTAACTGCTCTCACAGTGATTCAATAAATAAAATTATAAAAAATGAAAAAAAAAGTAAGGTGGAGTTCATGCACAATTCAATCATCTAATCAGTGGCTGAATAAATAGCAGTACTCCTACAAAAAAAAAAATCCAGGCCGGGCAATTGTCCAGCAGTTAGGGCATATGCCTAGCATCCCCAGTACCTCCAGGCGCAGTCCTGGAGCCCCCCAGCACCCCTTCCTCCAACTTTGCACTGAACCCCCAGCTGGTTTGGCTGAGATTTTATGCTGGGGCCCCAGTTGTGAGGCCTTAGAATAAACAGATAACTTCACCAGAGGCTGGGGGGCAGCGCAGGTGCCCGCTACTTACATGGCTGGCAAATTCAAGGCCCCGAGTTTGATCCCTGGCACTACAACTCCACATTACCGGGTGAAGCACTGAACTTCTGGGTGGCACCAGGAATGGCCCATAGGCCTCCTGAGCCCTGTTTGGGAGGGCCCTGCTCGAGCCCCATCAAGCACTATACCCATCAGGAAGATTCTGATTTTACTTCTGATACAACTGAGCTAGCCGTAAGCACCTCACCAGGAATGGAATGTGTGTATGTGGGGGGATTTGTGGTCATAACTCCACAGACCAGGTCCCTTCCTACCACCCTCCTACCCCTCCCCCCAACAGAGATGCTGGAACTGGCAGCCAAGACACACAGACCCATTAGGTGACTTAATGAATGAATGAATGAATCAAGGGGGTTTGGGGGGTCTTGTGTTTAAGTTACTCTAATGGAACTTTTGTGACCTTGTGGGTTTTTTTTTTTGAGGAGGGTGTTTGGGCTACACCCAGAAGTGCTCCTGCCTCTGTGCTCAGGGATTGCTCCGGGACCCTGGGTCACAAGCCCCTCAGAGGAGGGGAGTCAGAGGAGCTACGAGGCAGGAGAGAGCCCTCCGAGCAGGGCAAGCAACATCCCTGTCTCGTGTGGAAGGCACGGGGCGCACACAGTCCCAGCCACATGGACAAGGATGCCAAGAGCACGTGGTACTATCCTGATCACTGAATTTCAAAGGCGTGCTTTGGGGAGGAGGCATTTGGGGCCAGATCCAGCCATGCTCAGGTTTTGTTCCTGGAGGCGTTTGGTTTCTCTTTCCTTTTTTGGGGCGTGGGCACACCCAGCAGTCCTCAGGGCTTTCTCCTGGCACTGTACTCTGGGCTAACTCCTGGCAGGCTTGGGGACCCTCTGGGATGCCGGGGATTGAGCAAGCTGTGCTATTGGTCCAGGCAGCAGGGTCGTTTTCTTTTGGTGCTAATCCTGGTCCCTACCTCAAGCAGCAGATCAGCTATGCACAAGCTCAGAGACCCTCCCCACCACCTCCACCCACTGAGACAGGCCAGGTGGCTCCTTCCGGAGGAGAAGCCCAGGACGCACCCTTGCTTTACCTGTAAACAGTGGTGGTGGGCGTGTGCACCTTCTCATTCAGGATACGGCACTTAAACTTATTGTGCTGCAGAGAAAGAGGCATTTGTGTGTCATCACACGAGAGACTGCAACGCAGACACGTTCGTTCTGCCATTCTGACAGTGAGCTGCATCCACTGTGGCCTGAGAAGCAGCCCAGGGATGCAAAAGCTCACTGACGAGGGGCTGGGGGTGAAGTGTGCAGGGCGATACTTGGCGAACCCAAAGGGTTTGAGATGAGAGCCTCATAAGAGATTGATTTGTTGCAAGAAAAAGAAACTAGCCTATGTGAATAATTTTTCTTTTGGTCGGGGGAAGCCACACCTGGCGATGCTCAGGGGTTACTCCTGGCTCAGGAGTCACTCCTGATGCACAGGGGACCCTGTGTGATGCTGGGGATCGAACCTGGGTCAGCCATGTGCGCGGCAAATGCTCTCCATGCTGTCCTATGGCTCACCCATATGTGAGTGATTTTTATTGGCACTGGTTTCCCTTCCACAGAGTTTCTTGCAGTTACCTGAAACATTTCCAGGAGGTCATCCTTTCTGACTTCCAGCCTTTCGAAAGGCTGCTTCTCCTTGATGATGGTCTTGCATATGCTCTCCAGGGCCGACAGCTCCGTGCTGGACACAGCTCTACAGGGAGGGCCGGGACCGTGCAGGAGAAAGAGCAGGAGGTTTGGGTACCCGCCTTGCACAGCTGACCGGGGTTCCATCCCTGGCACCCCACAGGTTCTCCCGAGCCCACTAGGACTGAGCCCTGAGCACAGAGTCAGGAGGAAGCCCTGAGCACTGGGCATGACTCACAAACCAAACCAAACCATGGTTTTTGGAACTGGGTGACCTTGTGCAGCTGGAAAAGAATCTAGGAGAATGCTCACACATTGGGTGTGCACACTCGTGGCCTCACCTATCTCCCAAGAACATGTCGTAGTAAAATCCGTTCTCAGTGGGAGGGCAGGAGCACAGGTGACCGCCGTAGTACAGCTCCATGGCCTCGGCCAGCACGTGGGCACTGGAGTGCCAGAACACCTGTGAACACAAGACAAAGGGACTGGGCCATGGGCCATACCACGGGTGTTTATAGCTACTCCTGGCTCAGCGCTCGTGGGTCACCCCTGGACAGTTTGGGGTCCGTGAAGAAAAGGGGTAAGAAATACTAAGAAAGCCATTCATGAATATTAAAAAATAGATCTTGGGGCTGGAATGACAGTCCAGCGGTAGGTGCTAGCCTTGCATGTGGCTGACCATGGGTCCAATCCCCAGTACCCCAAATAATCCCCTCAGCCCACCAGGAGTGCTCCCTGAGTGCAGAGCCAGGAGTCAGCCCTGAGCACTACTGTGTGTGGCCCCAAAATAAATAAATCAAATAAAAATAGATCTAGGGGCTGGAGCGATAGGACAGCCTGTAAGGTGCTTGCCTTCCACACTGTGGACTCAGGCTCCGTCCCTGGCACCCTGTACGGTTCCCCGAGAACCACCCGAGTAATTTCTGAGTATAGGGAGTAAGTCAGCTTCATTGGGTGTGGGTGTGGCCCAACCACCACCGCTCCCTCCAAAAAATCTAACATACAAATGATATTTCCTGGGTCATGCCATTGCTGATGCAACAGCCCTGGCTGGCGCAGGGTACTGGACACTCACGGCCTGGGCGTCCTTGTCCTCATCGAAGGCCAGCAGCTCCAAGACACAGTCACCTTCCAAGGGCTGCTCCAAGTCCCAGAGCTTGCCGTCCACTCTGGCCACCACCACGCTCTCCGCCAGGTCTGGACTGGCGAGAGGGAGACACTCAGGAGCCTGTCACAGCACGGGCAGCAACAGATCTTCCAGACACCAGATACCCCTGGGGCTGGGGCTGGTTCTGGTTCTGGCCCCCAGCCCCTAGGTGCACACCAATGAGCAGGTAAGACCCTTGACAGTCTTCCAGAGGACAAAGCCTTGGCCACCATATGATGGATGGGCGGTGGATGGACAGCGGGGGATGGACAGCTTGCAAGGAGCAAGGCTGAGCCCGCAGGGGCCGGGAACGGGAGAGCTGAACAATGGAAATTTATGATCTGGATCTTCAGTTTCAAAATTTCATAATTGATGTACTCTAGAGACATGATTTTGCTTGTGGGTGGAAAGTTTGAAAAAAGATGCTCACCCTGTCTGCACTAGGGATGAATATCCCTGTTCCAAGCTAAGAAAATGCTGATTTCAGGAAACTCCCTGTAGCCATACTGGTAAGATGCAATCATGTGTGTGTGCCCCCATATGGGCTGAGCATGAAGCCAAGTAATGATGAGTTCTCAGTAATGCCTGATAAAGACAGGTTCTGGGACCCCTGAGCTTTGTGAGAGGCTTTGGGTGCTGGCCTGGCCTACACCCATCAGTCTCATCAGTCAGTGCCATCTAGACCTCCTTGTTCCCTGCCATGGTTGATCTCAGGGTGTATGGTTAAACAGAACACCCATTAAACACCATCTCCTTAGCCCTCAACAGCCTCTTTAGGAAAAGCCAGGGAGGAAATAAATGGATAAAGACACTGAATTTCCTGAACCAGCAAGAAATCAAAGCTCAGCATCCCTGCTCCCCCTCGCCCCCAAACCCAGAGACTTTCTGAGAGCACTGTGCTAAGTTCCCTCCCAAATCTCTCCCTGGGTCCTACTCACCTGATGTCAACTGCCACCTGGTACGGCGTGGTCTTCCCTGCGAGCCCGGTCACTGCTGGTCCACCGGCCACTCTCACAGTGATCACGCTGTGGGGACCCTCCTTTTGTTCATCTGTGCCGAGGGAGTCCTTCAGTGTTTCAAAAAGCTTCATTCTCTCCTGGAGGAAACTGGGCAGACGCTGGACCTGGAAATTGTGGACACACAGTGAAAGGCCCAGTCACAGTCACTGTCTAGCACCTTCTGCTCCTGCTCTGATTTCTCCACCACTGGCCTGGACTTCTTATGTTGACTGTGTCCCTCCACCAATCTACAGAGGCCGGGGGGGAAGGTCTACTTTGTCTCCCCCTTAACATGAATGCTCCATACTCTGGCTCCTTTAATGACTTATATTTTAAAAAGAAAAAAATGTTTTGTTCGTCCAGGACTTACTTCTGGCTCTGTGCTCTGGGATCAACTCCTGGTAGGCTCAGAATAGGTAGGTCTGGCATGCAGCTAACCCAGGTTTGATCCCCAGTATCCCATATGGTCTCCAGAGCCCCGCCAGGAGTAATTCCTGAGTGCAAAGTCGAGAGTAACTCCTGAGCATCACCAGATGTAACCCAAAACGAAACAAAAGAAAACAAAAAAAGATAAATCATTAGGGGCTGGAGTGACATACAGCGAGCGCTTGCCTTGCATGTGGTCAACCCAAGCTGGATCCCCAGCACTCACAGGGTTCACTGAGACCCACCAGGAGCAAACCCTGAGCACAGCTGGGGTGACCCCAAAATAAATAAAATAAACAGGCCACAGTGGGCTACATGTTATTTTCAATTCATTCATTCACTTATTTGCGGTGCCCATGATTGAATCCAGGTCTCAGGGATGCACGGCAAGTACTTAGCACTGAGCCACATGCCCCCTCCCCACCAGCAAGTTTAATTAGTGAACATATTAATCGCAAATCCCAGGCAGTTAAGCAGGAGAGCTCAATTTTCGGTAGTATTTGTGCTATTTCCACAAGAGCAGCTCACCTCACCAGCAGGCCCACTTTCCTCCTTCTTCATGTCCTCTCCTTGGGTTTGAGTAGGAGGCGGCTGAGAAAGGAAGGGAAATGATTGACTCAGGCCAAAGATGGATTGAAAAAACTCAGGGTGTGGAGAGAATAAGGCAGCAGGCATCGGGGTGAGAGGTTGGAATGGCGGGGGGAGGGGGGGGGAGGTGTGTGTGTTTCTCCTGACCACACCCCTCAGGGCCAGACCTGCTCTAGGGCTCAGAACCCCCGCTGCATTTTCACACACATTTAATAAGAATACAGTACATTTTGTTCCAATGCCCTTGGCTTGAAACAAATCAAGTAGTTTCGAGAGTTGGGGGGCTTCCCTCTGGAGATTTTCTTTCTTTACTATTTGGGAGATGGAGGGGTTACATTCCCAGGTGCTCAGGGGCTGTTCCTGGATCTGTGAGTCCTGCAGGTGCCTGCGGGGGGGGGGGGGGGGGTGTCATCCCCAAGCACCTCACCTTCCCACCCTCTCCCAACTCTACAAGTGCTGTGTTTCTGGAAGCAGTTGCTAGAGCCCCAGATGTGGAGAACACCCCCACACTGCAAGGAAGCTTTCAGAGCTGGTCTGAAGCATTCTGTTCCGAGAAAGTTAATGTCTCCTCAAAATGTTCTCTTTAAATAACAGTCTTTGGGGTGCTGGAGTGATAGAGCACCAGGTAAGATGCTTGCCTTGCACGCAGCCCACCCGGATGTGATCCCCAGCACCCCATAGGGTCCCTGGCACTGGTCAGGAGTGATTCGTGAACACAGACTCTAGAGCATCGCTGGGTGTGGCCCCCAAATAGAAAAATAGAATTAACAATGTTCACTTTCAGGACTGGCTAGCCAAGCAAGGCCACCGTTAAGGCAGCGATCAGGTGGAACCAGCCGGTCACCGGCGGGACGGAAGGGTGTCTTTAGGGAGCCGTGAACCGTTGAGCACCGACAGAGGCCCTGGGCTGTAAGAAGATGAGAACTTCTGTTTGTACAAAGGTGAGCAATGATGTCAATGACTGGTGCTGCTGAAGAATGCGTGAGACAGGCGCTGGGATGGCAACGCTGAGCGTCCCCCTAACCAAAGGGGTCCGGAGTCTTAGGGTGTCCCGGCCAGGAGGAGCCCAGCGCGCGGCACCCCGCGGATACTCAGGGCTGAGACCCTCAGGTGCTGCCTGCCCTGACCCTCAGGTGCGGCCTGGCCCTGTCCCCGCACCAAGAGCACTCTGCCATCCCTGCAGCCCCCTGCCCTGCCCTGTCTTGCCCGGCCCCCTGCCCCTCTGCGCCCAGCCCCCGTCCGGCCCAGCCCGGCCCCTCCACCCCGCCCCGCCCAGTCACTAACCCCGCCCCACCCAGCCCCTGCCCCGCCCCAGCCCCGCCCGACCTCTGCCCCGCCCCGCCCCGCCCCGCCCCTGTGCCGCCCCTCCCCTACCGCACCCAGTCCCCTGCCCAACCACGCCCGGCTCCTGCCCCGCTCCGCCTGGCCCTTGCCCCGCCCCGCCCCTGACCCACGCGACCCCTGCCCCACCCACGCCCCTGCCCCGTACGACCTCTGCCCCGCCCGACCTCTGCCCCAACGGGCCCCTGTCCCGTCCGGTCTGCGCCCGGCCCCTGCCCGCGCGACCCCTGCCCCGCCGCGACCCCTGCCCCACCCAGGCCCCTGCCCCGCCGGGCCCCTGCCCCGCCGGGCCCCTGCCCCGCCGGACCTCTGCCCCGCCCGACCTCTGCCCCGCCGCCCGACCTCTGCCCCGCCGCCCAGCCCCTGCCCGGCCGCTCGGCCCCCTCCCCGGTCACCTGCACGGCCGTGCACTCGGGCGGCGCCTCGCGGCCCGTCCCCCCGGAGAGGCCCCGCCGCAGGCCGGACAGGCGCCGGCGCAGGTCGCGGTTCTCGGCCCGGAGCCGCGCCACCTCCCGCGTCGCGCACGGGCCGCCCTCGGCGGGGCAGCGGTCAGGGTCGTGCAGTTGCTGGTCGCGGAGGCGCTGCACCTCGGCCCACAGCCAGCGGATGTCCTCCTCCTGCCGCTGCAGGCGCGACAGCACGGCCTGCGCGGCCAGCGCCTCGGCCGCCATCACCGCGGCGTCCTCGGGCAGCGACAGCTGCGGTGCTGGCCGCACGGCGAGGACGACGCGGGACAGGACGCGGGGCGGGGCTCCTCGAGGGGCGGGGCGTATGGAGGGCGTGGCCGCGACGGGTGGGGCTATGGGGTATTGCGAGGAGGCCGCGGGGCGGGGCTCCTCTAGGGGTGGGACCCATTGAGGGCGTGGTCACGACGGGGGCGGGCTTCTCGAGGGGCGGAACCTCTGGGGGCGTGGCCACGATGGGCGGGGCTGTGGGGGCTATGGTGAGGAGGCCGTGGGGCGGGGCTTCTCGAGGGGCGGGACCTTGGGAGGGCGAGGCCATGACGGGCGGGGCTATGGCGCTACGGCGAGGCCACGGAGCGGGGCTTCTAGGGGCGGGGCTTCATGAGGGCGTGGCCACATGGGGGCAAGGCTACAGTAAGGGCGACTCTGGTCAGGATGCAGGACAGAGCTTCTCGAGGAGCAGTGCTACATTGAGGGCGGGGCTATGCCAGGGGCGTGGTGTGGTTTCTCCACCTAGAGCAGTGGGTGGGGCTATGGGAGCCAGAGCGGGAGGGGCTTAGGTTCTGCGCATGCCTGCCCGGAGGAGGGCGGAGTTAGAGGGACTTTGGGGGCGGGGCCATAGGCCTAAGGATCTGGGGCTCGAGTTCTATGAACTGCATGGGGCGGGGCTAAAGGGACTCCGAGCTGTCTGGGCGACTCCCTTAAGAGAGGGGCGTGGCCCTGTCACAGCAGGAGGTGGGGCGGGGCTTAGAGCCCTAGGGAGGCGGGGCGGCATCCTAGCGCATCTACCTTATGGAATCATGAGACAGTACAGGGGGTTAGAGGGTGTATACAGTGCGTGCGAAAGAGCCCAAGTTCGATGCCAGAAATGCAAGGCTCCTCAAGCGTCATCGCTGGTGTGGCCCCGGTGCCCCCTCCCCGCACCCTTGGCTCTGAAAAGCACCGCATCGCCGGACCAGAGCATCAACAGGCCATCGCAGTTGGTTGAGTATCACCAGCAATGGATGAGCATCGTTCGGGGATTCCCCATAAGTCAAATATAATAAAACAGAAGGAATGTTGCTATTCAGTTGAGTGAGGCCGTGAGTTCAATCCCCGGTGCAGAGACCCTGGCACACCCCGGGACGGCTAGGATCCTCAGCACCTCCGCCAGCTACTTCCAGACATGGCAACCAGGTGCGCGCTCCAGTGGCAGCCGCGGGGTGCGGCGTCCGTGATGACTGCGCTCGGGGATGTGAGCGAAAAGTGGTCGGGAAGGGCGACCCCTGGTGGGCACCACAGCCGGGACGTGGATGAGCATTACTGCAGCCGTACCGGCACACCCCAGTGCCAGGGTCAGGCCGCGACCCCCGCGTCCCCCGCCACCGCCCTGCATCATCCAGCTAGGAAGAAAAGAGGAAAGAGAGGGAGGGGCCACTCCAGAAAACGAACCAAACCCAGAAAACGACTCCAGCAGAGGGAGTCAGAGAGGCAGAGAAAACTGTTAGGACGGTGCGGGTTGGAATCTTATCACTGCTCTGGTTCTTGGTGGGGGTGGGGGGTGTTCCTCACTGATTCCTGGCTGTGGGGTGACTAAGGCAGATGAACCGTGGCTGCTATGTGAAGGTCCCATAAAGGAGGGGGTTGGGCTGTGGGCAGCAAACTGTCTGGTTTGCATATACAAACCCTTTTGGGCGTGGGAGGGTGAATTGCACTGAATAAAGTGCTAACTCGCTAACTTACACAGATGGATTCCACTAGGGAGAAATACTTGGATTTATTGACATCATTCCTATCTAGTTGTTAGGGTGCAATTCCGATGCACCCTAACAAAAGTGTGTGGATTTGTGTGTGTGTGTGGATGTGCGTGTGCTTGTGTGTGTGTGTGTGTGTAATTCAGGGATTAAAGTCAGAACTCACACATGGAAGGCAAATGCTCTCATGCTGAGTCTCATCCCTGGGCCTTCAGGATCACATTATTATTATTATTATTATTATTTTCCTACTTTGGACAAGCTTGCAGGCTATCGAATGTAGCCTGCCCACAGGGCAGAGTCTGGCAAACTCCCCGTGGCGTACCAAATATGCCAAATACCAGTAACAATGATGGGTCTCATTCTCCTAAAGAGCCTTGAATATAATCTCAGGGCTAGGATGAAAGAGACATTACTGGGGCCTGCTCGAGGCAATCGACGAATAACAGGATGATGAATGAATGAATGAATTATTTTCAGGGGCTTTTTGGGTCACACCCAGTGATGCTCAGAGCTGTCCTCAGGGATAACTCTTAGTGAGGCTCAGGGGACCACATGGGATGCCAGGGATGAAATCCAGGTCGGTTACATGCAAAGCAAGTGCCTTACCCATTGTACTATCTTTCTGGCCCTGAGGTCACTTATAGCGAAGAGATGCTTATAAACCCCCCATACCAGAACCTCCTTTTCTTCCCCTCCTCACACACATGAACCTATGAAGAGGAATCAGAAAGGGTCTGGCCCATGGACGTGTGAATCTGGCGTGCAGAATCAGGCTGCATGTGCCAGGTGGCCATGACCGAGGTCTCACCTGAACTTGCCATCAGCCCTTTCTTTACTGTGATATCATGAAAAGGACACCAGGGTCCACCCAGAGGAGAGATGCCAGTGATGGGCCTGAATCATTTCTCCAGGGGATCAGAGAAACATGTTCCACTTTCCAAAAGAGAGACAGGATGGGATCGACCGAGAGCTCACCTGACTTAGACGGCTGCGTGCACACAAGCACCCGTCATATAGCTCCTGGTTTGGGTCCAGTCAAGTCACGTCTAATGGCTGAGCTCTGGGGAGCAGAAGTCTAGAAGGAGGCACTTGGTCCCTGCTGTAGGCACCAGTATTGCCATGAAATCCTTCAGTCTAATCATAAACATGTGAGGTCAGTCGCGGTGGTGTAACAAATCATTTGGGGTTGCGGGAGGCCGGATGCAGGGGACACCCTGGGGAAGGGATCATTGGGAGGAGAGAGAAATCACAACGGAGCAGAAGTTGGCAACCAGCATTCCTGTTCATCCTTGGACATTCGCAGCCTTGAAGGACTAATTAGTGCAGGGAAATCCTCTCAGTCCACATGGCCAGCACCCCAGGGTTAATCCGTGGCCTTCCCTCCCCCGCCCCTTCTTTGCAGATCTACCCTAATTGCAGCTTTGCCTCTGGAAGTTCCCGTGGCGTGGGCAGTGCCCACTGAGGTCTCTGAGAAGGGACTGTGCCTCGCAGCCGTCCCCATGCCAAGATGCTGGTGAGCCAAGCCGGCTCCTGGTTCTATAGCAGTGATGCCATGGTGCAGAGAGGAAGGAGGAGAAGGCAGCTCCTGGCAATGTCGGGGAGTTACAAAGAGAAGCTGGTGCGGGAATTAAGCCTGAGCCGGGTGCTCCAGGGCTTGGTGTACGACGGCGTGCTGTCTGTGGGGGAGTACCAGGAGATTGTGTGCCAGGACAGCTCTGCTCGCAGAGTGGATTCATTTCTCCGAAAGCTTTTCCCCAAAGGCCCGAAGGCCTTCTGCGCCTTCTGCTCACACCTGGAGGACCTCTGTCCTTACCTGCTCCTCTGCTGCTTCCTTTATTACCAAGGTAAGAAAATGCCCTCGGATGCAGGAAGCTGAACGAGACTCTGACCCGGCCGCAGTGGCACAACGCGCTTCCACCCAGTTCTGGTCATTCTGTTGTTTTTTTTTGCTTGTTTGCCTGAGGCCACCTCCAGCAGTGCTCAGGACTCACTCCTGGCTCTGAGCTTCTTTGAGATCACTTCTAGGGGGTGCTGAGAACCAAACCCAGATCGGTCTAGTGCAAAGCAAGCTCCTGACTGGCTTTACCTCTTGTTGACCTGAAGGAGCCTTTTTGCAACGATGCAATGCCCTTGAGATCTGGTGAACTGTCTTCATCTTGAGATTTGAGATGCGTCCTGAGCACCTGTGGGTGGGAGGAGGAAACCTGAGAGAGAGGGATGTGGCAGAGAAGGTTCACATAAGGGTGAGGAGCCTTGTGTGTGGGTGGGCCTGGGGTGCAGAGGAGAGCCCCCAGGCTCTCACTGGTATGCATCAGTTCTTTACTAGGGACTGGAGTGAACTGGGAGTTACAGGATCCCTGAGAATAATGTCTCAGATGAACTTTAGTTCCTGTTCTTTCATTTAGGTTTTGGTTTCAGGTGTGACCCATAAGCTCAGGGGCTACTCCTGACTTCGTGCTCAGGATCATTCTTGGTGGTGCTTTGGGGACCCTTTGTGATGCTGGGGATGGAACTAGGGTTAGCCTCGAGCAAGGCAAATGCCGTAAGCCCTGCCCTGTCTCTCTGGTCCTCTCAGATGGAGTGAGGTGGGTTTGCTGTCAAGAATCCGCCTTATGCTAGAAAATGAGATTTGGTGAAGGCGTGAAAATCTGGTCACAGCTCAATGGGCTGAGTGCAGGCACTGCCCGGGATGGCTCAGCTTCATCACCCAAGTACCACCATGAGTAGTCCTGAGTGCTGAATGAGCAGAGTGCTGCGGGTGGCTAAACAAATCAATATGGAGAAAAAATGTGAACAGAATCCCCTGTGAGTCTGGGTCCCATTTCTATGCAGTAAAGTCATACTTGGGTGATTTGTCTGTGACATGTAGAAAAAACTTTATTTGCGAGGAATCACGGGTTCTCTTGTCCCTTCTGCTTTTGAATCCCTGAAACCCACTTATAGCACTTATAGCAAATATGAGGCTTACTCCAAAAACTTTCTAGCCACAACGTAGCAACCAATGTCTTTGAAAAATTGTCACTCTTCTGAACCAAAACAAGTAGTTACTTATTGGGAATAACTTCTAATGGTCCTTTTTGCCCCCCCCCCCAAAGGAATTTGTCTTGTCATAGAAACAAGTAAACTGAGTGATGGTTTTCTTTGGATATATTGCCTGGCTTAGCCAAATCTTCCACAATGGATAAGTCCAGAGAAGAACCCAAAGGCAACCTATAACCTATCAGTAAAACCAAAAGACAGCAACAAAGGGTGCGTCGGGATGGTGATGCCTGTGTATGTTTTCATTCAGAACAAACCCAAGGGGTCTTACAAGCTCTAACGGCTG